CTATGGCGCTGAGAGCGTGGGGGCGCGTATCGAGGAGTCGCGCGTGGTGCACCTGCTCGCCACCCAGAACGACACGGCCGGGGCCGGCGAGGCGCTGTCGGGCCTGCAGCTGCACGAGGCCGTGGCCATCGTCACCACCCTCCTCGACAAGCCCATCGCGTCCGACCCGGCCCGCAACCACCCGCTCAAGCTCTTCCTCGTCCAGGTACGCCCCGACGCGCGCCCACCACCCCCGCCATGCCACGTTCGCTTTCACTGACGTGTGTCGCGTGTTGTGCGTGCGGTGTTGTGTGTCGTATGCGGCGTGTGCGAATCAAAAAATAAATAGTATGGGCTGTCGCACCTGCGGAGCGCGTTGAGTCCGGCGCAGGTGGAGCTCTTCTCCAAGCGGGAGCTGGGCCTTCGCGCGCTCCTCGAACTGGGCGCCGACCAGCAGAAGCTCTTCGAGAAGCTGGTCGACCATCCCGGTACACACACACACACACGACACACTCATACACGACCACACACACACACACACACACACACACACACACACACACACACACACACACACACACACACACACACACACACACACACACACAACTTGTCGTGTGCTTACATCTGTGTTTAATCGCCGATATGACAGCGTTGATCGTGGAGAGCTTGATCATGTCCGAGCAGACCTCTCACGCGCGCCTGCTGCTGCTGCGCCTGCCCGAACTCGTCGACGATGCGCTCCTCATCAACTACGCCCAGAAGGCCCTCCTCTTCCCCATCTCCGACGGCTCACGCACACGTCCCGCAGCCCAGGTGCGTGAGTGCGGTCGTGTGCGTGTGCGTGTGCGGTCGTGTGCGTGTGCGTGTGCGGTCGGCTTGCTCACGCAATGTTTCGGCTCAGACGTGGGTGTTGACGGGCGATGAGACTGTCGATGCGAAGCTGCGGGTCCAGCACGCCTACGGCACGGCCCCGTCGATGCACCTGGGCAAGGCCCTGCTCGATCTCGTCGCGCAGCCCAAGAAGGCCGGCGAGGCCTGCCTCGTCGTGTGCGATCGCCTCTCGAGCGGACTCCCGGACCGCCCGTCCGACGAAAAGCTGCACACCATCAACCTCATCCAGCAGCTCCTCCTCTACGCCAAGCTTCAGGTCCGTCACTCGCTTAGTCGTGTGTGTCGTGTGTCTGTGTCGCACAGTGTACTGAGAGCAAGTGGTCGGCGTGCAGTTTATTCGGTCGTCCGATGCCTCCGGTGGCGTCTCGCTCTGTGACACGATCCTGTCCCACGTCGAGCTGCTCCAGGTTTATTTATTATTATTATTATTATTATTATTCTATTAATTAATTAATTAATTAATTATTATTTTCTGTGGCTATCTTATAATTGTTACACAAATTAACAAAACATGTTTGGTGGCTGCTCAGACGCTGACGCTGTCCAAGTGCCCGCTGGGGAAGATCTCGCTGATGGACTTCTCCGACCCGCACAAGGCGCGCCAGCAGCGGGACAAGCTCATCGCGCAGGACCGCATGAAGCTGGCCCTCGACGTCGCCACCAAGTGCAGCATCGACGCCGAGCCCGTGTGGGCCGCCCTGGGCATGGCCCTCCTCCGCATGCCGCGCTACAACGACGCCAAGGAAAAGTTCAAATACTGTTTGCGTACGTCGCATTCCTTCGTTCTTCGCTCTTTATAGTTTCTCGTGCTTCGTTCTTTTTTGTGGCGCTGACGTGTGGTTGGCCGGAGCAGCGACGACCAACGACAGAGGCGGGTCGCACGCCGGTGGCCTTGACTCGGGCACGCTCCTTAAGGTATTCGCTGCATACCCCGTTGTCATCAAACATGCGCTCACCGCACACGCACACGCACACGCACCACCGCACACAGAGCATCATCAGCACGCTCGAGTCGGGTGCGCCGATGGAGGCGAGTGATCTGCGCGCACTGCACGCGCAGATGGCGTCCTCGTCGGCCTCGTCGTCGTCCATGTCCAACTCGTCGCTCTCCTCGTCCGGCAGCTTCTCGAGCAAGCTCAGCACGCCGCCCACCACCCCCACCAAACCCGCTTCGCGCGGCTTCTGTACGTTGTCGACACCTGTCTGCACGCCTGTCACACCACTGTCGACACTCACCCCCTGCCTTGTGCTGTGTCGACGCAGTCGCCGACCTGTGGGGCAGCGGGAGCACGCCGAAGAGGGACGAGAGCCCGCAGCAACGGTTGCACGGCAGCGGCAGCGGGAGCGGGAGCAGTCCGGTGCGACGCGAGGCCTCGGGCGGCGCCGGCGGGGCCAAGGGCGGCAGCGGCACGCTGGACTCGATGCGGTTCATGCAGTGCGTGTACTACCTGCGCCTCTACGGCACCCCGCGCCAGCAGGTCGCCTTCTGGACGCACCACTCGCTCTACGAGGTACCACTTAACAAACCGTAACTTGCATTCCTGGCATTCCACCATATTGAACGTGTGTCTTGCCGTGTCGTGTCGTGCGTGTCATTAGGACGCGTGTTCGTTCATCATCGCCAACAAGCTGCCGCCGAACGTTTTTGTGGAGGACGTATTCCTCGCCGCGCTGTCGCACGCGCAGCTGCCCTTCCTCCTTCGGTCCCTGCGCAAGATCGGCACGCCAACCCTCACGACACACACTAGCACACGCACACGCACACGCACACGCACACGCACACGCACGCGAACTAACAGCCCCGGGCCTGTCACATAGATAGGGGATTGGGGCAGTCGAGCAAGTACCTGCTGGAGGTGTGCAAGGTGCTCAACAGCAAGGGCGCCTTCCGGCTACTGCTCACCCTCCAGGAGTTCATGAAGGACTACGTCCGCGCCGCCCTCACCTCCATCAAAGTCTCCCACGCCTCCCCCGACCTCGCCGCCAAACTCAAGTACTCTCGTCGCTTTCGTTTTCGGTTTCGGTTTCGCTTTCGTTCTTTCTCGCTGACGCCGGGGCGCGCAGGTATTTGGAGCAGGCCAAGGCATTCCTGCTGGAGGGACTCGAGGACATCCAGAACCGACGCGGCGAGGCGGCGACCGCGCCACCCGCACAGCTCTCGGCTTCACCATCACCATCGTCGTCTTCGTCTTCTTCCTCATCGTCATCGTCGACCGCTGCCGGCTCCGCAGCTGCGCCAGCAGCAACCGCCATGCTGACCGAGTCCGAGATCTCGCGATACATCCGCACCCTCAATCTCCAGGTGCGTGCGTGCGCGTGGCGTGTGTCGTGCGGTGTGTGTCGTGTGTGCGGTGCGGTGCTGATCGTCAGTGCGGTTCCTGCACGCACCCGCGCGCAGATGGAGGTGACCAAGTACTTTGCCACGCAAGCCAAGAGCGCCCCCGCCCTCCAGAACCTCTCGCTCTTTGGCCAGCAAGCCCAGAAGGTGCGGCCCCTACACCCACAAATTTAACCTTCATCACTCAGCCCACTCACTCGCGCGTGTCGCGTGTCGTGTGCTGTGTGTCGTGCGTGTCGTGTGTCGTGTGTCGTGTGGTGTGCCGTGCGTGTTGTGCTGTGTGATGTGTTGTAGTCTGAAGTGGCGGGAGAGCTGCTGGGGAGCTACAACCACGAGCTGGCGTTCAAGGTGATGCAGGAGTTCCGGCTGCCGATGGCGCCCATCTACGTCGACGCCATCGCCAAGATCGCCAGCAAGCGGCAGGTCTCGAAGATCTTCGATTTGCTGAAGAACGTCAAGGGCAGCGTGGACGACAAGGACTGGGACGAGGTCGTGCTGGCCGCCATCAAGGTCATGGTGCGCGACCACAACGACCCTAAGACCGGCGAAAAGCTCGTCGACAAGCTCGTCTACCTCCAAAGCAAGGTACACACCGCACACACCGCACACGCACACGCACGTGGTGGCTGAATGAGATTTGTTGCAGGTGGAGGGGTTCGTGATGTGTGGCAAGCTCAAGTCGGCGTACCTGGCGGCGGTCAAGGCCAACGACGCGTCGCTGATCATCAAGATCCGCGAGGAGGCCAACCGCACCAACGCGCCGGGCGTCGCCGACCTCTGCCAGAAGTTTCTCGCCGCACACCACTAACGAGGGAGCACCATCACACCGGCACAAACTACACGCATTCCACAACAAAGACATGCATTCCACAGAGCGAGTTCGGTGGAAGGTGTGGCTTTTGAATTTTGGAGTGCTGGTGACACCTGAGCTTGTTGCGATGTGACTCAAATCACACTGGGGCCAATGAGATCGAGGCGCTTTATCTTGCCACCAGCCAATCAGCTGGATGAGCTTGAGCTATAAGAAAGCTCCAGCTCCACCTTCTCCATCACAACCAACAATAACAACGACAACCAATCAACACAACATTATGAAGCTCAACGTGATCCTCTTCGCCTTGGTTTGTATGGGCCTGCTCGCCCTGGCTCTTGCCCACGACGGTGAGTCAGTCCTTCATCAACTGCACCCAAACCGTAAGTTTGCCACTGACTTATTGTTTGGCAGGACAAGACGATGGTGGCTACAAGAAGAACAACGACAAGCAGCAGAAAGATTGGGACTGGAAGGACGACGAGAAGGACGACCACGACTGCGACGACGACGATGACGAGGATGATGAAAAGGAGGAAGGCAAGTGCTTCTGGAAGTGCGTCAAGGTGTGCAAGCCCCACCACCACACGTCGTCGACAACGACCAAGAAGCACTCCACCACCACGACCAAGGACTGCCCCAGGGAGACCACCAAGGACTGCCCCAAGGAGAGCACTACAACGACCAGGAAGCACCGCACGACGACGGCCGACGAAAAGGACTGCCACAAGACCACCACGACCACAAAACGCCACCACGACAAGCCCTGTGATCAGTAATTTCTGAATTCCCACCACACCAGATATTACATGTCAACCGACATTTTCTTCCCTTTCTGACCCTGTTCTGGTTACATCCGATAACGGCAGGGACTGGGTGGCCACGAAGCCTTGATGAGGGCGTGGGTCTGGGTTGTTTTGGTCAGGGGGGTGTTTGAGAGAGGGTTGTGGAAAAGCCATGGCAGATCGGCGTGCCTTGTGATGCCGGGACACCAGTGGCAACAAGGACATATGCGTGCAGTGATCTATTCACCTCAATCACTTTGTGTGTCAACCTTCTGTGTTGGGGAGAACTGTGTCATGTGCTGCAGAGCTATAAGAAGGAATCCCCACTCCCAGCTCCCTCCTTCTCCACCAGATAATCATACACTCAGCCACAATCCTACCCCCGAGCAAACCAACAATGAAGCTCAGTGTGGCATTCTTCACCTTGGTCTGTCTGGGCCTTTTCGCCCTCGCTCTCGCCCATGACGGTAATGAGTGCCTCTTAAGTGCCGCCAGCACTCCACGCAAGGCTGTTCCATTCCAACCCGCTCACCTTTCATGCGCTCATTTGGGCAGGGCAAGACGGCGGCGACAAGAAGGATGGCGACAAGCAGAAGGACTGGGACTGGAACGACTGGAAGGACGACGAAAAGGATTATCACGACTGCAACGATGATGGCGATGAGAAGGAGGAAGGCAAGTGCTTCTGGAAGTGCGTCAAGGTGTGCCACAAGAAGAAGCCCCACCACCACACCTCGTCGACAACGACCAAGAAGCACTCCACCACCACCACGACCACCGGGACTGCCCCAGGGAGACCACCACCACATCGACGACCAAGGACTGCCCCAAGCACACCACGTCCACGACGACGACCAGGAAGCACCGCACCACCACGCCCGACGAGAAGGACTGCCACAAGACCACCAGCACCACGACCACCAAGCGCCACCACGACAAGCCCTGCGACCAGTCGTAGTTTTGCCCTGAACGGACCGCTGAAGATGCGTGTGTGACGAACATGTCTGGTCAAAATGTTTTTGTTGATGATTGTTAGATGTGGGGGGGGGCTGTGATGTGATTTTACTGCTTCTTGGACTCCTCCTTGGCGGCATCGGCCTTCTTGAAGGTGATGAGGACCTCGTCGACGCCCACGTTGGCGCCCGGCGTCACCATCACGTCCTCGATCTCGCCGTCGCGCTCCGCACGCAGCACGTTCTGCATCTTCATGGCCTCCACCACCGCCACCTCCTGCTCGTTCACACACACATACACACACACACACACACGAGCGTGAGTGCCGTGCCACACGCGTGTGTGCCGTGCCACGCCAGCAAAACAAACCACAAGGAATGTGGAGAATGGCACGAACCTGGCCGACGGTGACCTTATCGCCCTTCTTGACCCTCATCGAGATGACGAGGCCGGGCATGGGCGAGCGCACGGTTGACGAGAAGTCCTGCACGACGGGCTTGGGCATGAGCACCGCCAGCTCGGCCTGGCGCGGCGTGCGCACGAGCACGTCGAACTTGGTGCCCAGGTGCACCAGCCTGTAGCCCACCGGCAGCGCCTGCGCCAGCTGCATCGTCACGTCCTTACCACTGCGCACACACAACACACAGAGATATGACCTCAGCAATGCGCGTGTGCGGTCGGGAGTAGGCGTGTGCGTGTGCGGTCGGGCGTAGGCGCGCGTGTGCGGTTGTGGTACGTACTCGACGATGGCGGAGAAGATGGGGGAGTCGAGCTGCCACTGGTAGTTGACCTTCACCCGGCGCTCCTGGCCGTCGTCCTGCTTGATGACCACCTCGCACTCGTCGGTCTCCTCCAGGCTGGGGATGGCCGGGTGCGTCGACGCACCGGCGGCCGGGCTCGCGGTGGGCTCCTGCACCAGCGTGATCGGGTAGTTCTTGCCCTCGACCGTCACCACCAGGTCCATGTTCCTGTGCGTGTCGTGCGTCGTGTGCGGTTGTAAGAACACGCGGTGTGTGCGGTGTGTGCGGTGTGTGCGGTGTGTGCGGTGCGGTGCGGTACTCAGAGGTGAAGGGGCGGGCGTGGAGCTGCTGGGAGATGGTGGCGTCGCGACGCGAGCGGGAGAGGTGGATGGCGGCGGCCGACGCGATGAGCTCGTCGATGTCGGCGGGCGTCACCGGGTGGCCCTTGAACCCCTCGGGGTACTCCTCGGGGATGAAGTTGGTCGACAGCTTGCCCGACTGGAACCGCTGGTTCTCCATCACCGAACGCAGGAACGGCACGTTGTGGTTCACTCCCTAACCGTCGTGTCGCGTGTCGCGTGCGTGTGCGTGTGCGTGTCAGCGCCGAGTGTCGTGTTGCGTGTCGTGTGCGACGAGGTGCGTACCTCGATCTGGTAGGTGTCGAGGGCGTAGGACATGGACTTGATGCACTCGTCGCGGGTGGGACCCCACGTGACCAGCTTGGAGATGAGCGGGTCGTAGAACACCGACACCTCGCCACCCTCGTACACGCCGGCGTCCACTCTGTCCATCGCGCGTTCCTCCGTCAGCGCGTGCGCACACGCGTGTGTGATGCTGTGGTCGTGTGCGATGTGTGTCGTGTGCGTGTGCGGTGGTGCGTGTGCGGTACCGGATGGAGCCGTCGGCCGCGTGGGGCTCCTTGTAGGTGCGGAGGCGACCGATGGAGGGGAGGAAGTTGCGGTAGGGGTCCTCGGCGTAGACGCGGCACTCCATGGCCCACCCGTTGAGGGGCACCTCCTCCTGCCGCAGCTTGAGCTTGTGGCCCGCCGCCACCCGCAGCATCTCCTCTACGATGTCCACTCCCGTGATCTTCTCCGTGATCGGATGCTCCACCTGACGACACACGACACGACACGACACGACACACACGTTAACACGACACGACACGACACGACACACACAACGCACGGCACACGACACGACACGCACCTGGAGGCGAGTGTTCATTTCGAGGAAGTAGAAGTTCTTGTGCTGGTCGGAGAGGAACTCGACGGTGCCGGCCGAGGCGTAGCCGACGGCGCGGGAGAGGGCGACGGCCTGCTCGCCCATGGCCCGGCGGGTGGCGGGGTCGAGCAGCGGCGAGGGCGCCTCCTCGATGACCTTCTGGTTGCGGCGCTGGATGCTGCACTCGCGCTCGTTCAGGTACAGCTGCGCATCGTCGACGCAATCAAGTTAGCGTGTGTCGTGTCGTGCCGTGTGTGCGGTGGTTCATGGCACGTACGACGTTGCCGTGGGTGTCGGCAAGGATCTGGATCTCGATGTGACGCGGGTTGTCGATGAACTTCTCGATCAGCATCCTATATTGGGGGCGTGCATGGTGGGTCGTGAGTGAGCTGGTCACACCGCACACACCACGCGCATGACACACGCACGACACACGCATGGCACGCGCGGTGGTGTGGGCACGAACCGGTCGTCACCAAAGGCGGCCTTGGCCTCGGCCTTGGAAAGGCGGAAACCGCTCAGGGCCTCCTCGTCGTTCCTTCAAAAGAAAAAGAACGTGTCGCGTCAGCTGCGATTCAGCCAAAGAAAGGAAAAGAAAAGGAAAGAAATGCAGAGCAGAACGCGTACCAGGCAATGCGCATGCCCTTGCCACCGCCGCCGGCGCTGGCCTTGATCATGACCGGGTACCCAATCTCGCCGGCTGAACGCAACGCCGACACACAAAGAAAAAACAACGATGAGCAAATAATTGATCAGTATTTAAATATAAATAAAAAAAATGACATAAATAAAAAATATTTGCGCGCGAGTACCGATCTTGAGGACCTCCTCGTCGCTGTTGACCTCGCCCAGGAAACTGTGTGTGTGCGTGAAGAGTGGTTTTTGGTGAGCGGAATGACAAGAATGCTTGGGAATGCTTGGCACCGAGGGTGGAATGCTGCATACCCGGGGATGGTGTTGACGCGGGCGGCCTTGGCGAGCTTCTTGGACTCGATCTTGTCGCCCATGGCCCGGATGGCGGACGAGGGCGGACCCACGAACTGCACGCCGTTCTCCTCCAGCGCCTTGGCGAACACCTCGTTCTCCGACAGGAAACCGTAGCCTGGCACGTTTGATTGCGACACAAGGCAAACACGCGTCAGCAAGCGCACACGCAGGGCGAACACACCACACACAACACACAACACACAACACACAACACACAACACACTGTAGTAGCGTACCGGGGTGGACGGCCTGGGCGCCGGTGGACTTGACAGCCTCGAGAATGCGGTCGACGCGCAGGTAGCTCTGGGCCGAGGCGGCGGGTCCCTGAAAAGAACACATGTGCGTAATCGATCGGGTCAGCTGTGCTGACACACGCGTGCGGCGTAACACGTGCGGTGCACGCGCGTGCGTGCGTGCGTGCGGTGGAGAGAGGCTCGTACGACGCAGATGGCTTCATCGGCCATGCGGACGTGGGTGGCCTGGGCGTCGGGCTCGGAGTAGACAGCGACGGTCTTGATGCCGAGACGCTTGCACGTGCGCATCACGCGGCAAGCGATCTCACCGCGGTTGGCCACGAGCACCTTATCGAACAGCTGCGGTGCGGCACAGCGCGTAGATCGTCAGCAGTTTGCCTCTCATTTGGTTGTTCAGCAAATTAATAATTGAAGTAGTAGCAAACCTTCTCGGCCTGCCGGGGGGCGAGGGAGCGGTGGAAGGCGCGAACGCCCATCTTCGGAAGCAGCTCCTGTTGGCATCGCAAAAGTAAAATTAAAAACAGCCAAAATGAACAAATTAAATCGATAATCCCAAATCTGCAACAATAGTTAATGAGCTTCTTTCATTCCTGACGTACCACATGGGAAGCGGAGGTGCTGCAACGCGCGGCACGTCTCAACATGTTCTATGCAGTTCTTTTGTACGAGCAAATGTCGATCACAGCAGAGAAGCAGCACCACACTGCCAAAATCTGCGCCCACGGGTTGTTCTTCCCAGATAAACCGGGATCTATCCGGGCAGCAGATAAGCGGAATTCTCCGTTCCGCCAACCGCAATCAAAGGAATATCAAATTCCTGACAATTACCGAGTATCACGACTTCGATCCTGCGCGATCACGCCGGAACGAGCAACGGAAGCAGGGCGAATCCACATCTGATCAATTGGTGCCTTCGCATTCATCCTAGATCCCACACATCGAGCCGGCAGCTAAATTCAACGTACGCGCGGCCTACATCAATCGAAGCGCTTCTTTCATTTGATCTCTTCTTGTGCGCACCTTTTATTTCTTTTTCGAATTATTTATTAATTTAATTGCAAGATTTGCGCGTAACATTGTAGAGACAAGATGAGGAGGGCACTGCAGTGCACGACGAGCACGATGACCATGACCGCTGCCGCTGGCTGGCGCGGGGGCGCTGCGGCGCGCATGCTGCACTCGAGCGGTGCGAGGGCGGCCCTGGCCGCATCGGCTGAGCAGCGCGTAGAGACCAAGCGTGCCGAGGCACTGGTGGGGGGCGGTCTCCCACGCATTGCTGCGCAGCACAAGAAGGGCAAGCTCACAGCGCGCGAGCGTCTCGAGCTCCTGCTCGACCCTTCATCCTTCCGCGAGGAGTCCATGTTCGTTGAGCACCGCTCCACCGACCCGGCCATCGTCAACCAGAAGGTACAAAAATCTAGATCAAATCAATTAAATTCGTGTAAATTTGTCGACGAGCTCTTCGATTCATTTGCTGATTTTATCCTTGTGCTTTGTTGCGTGACTGTGCAGTACCCTGGTGATGGTGTGGTCACTGGTCGTGGCGTACGTGCACCAACAATATAGCTTTGTTCTTTCTCGAGATTTTGTTTTATTTTTATTAATCAAGTCAACCCACTTCTTTCACATTCACATCCAACACCAGACTATCAACGGACGCCTGGTGTACGTGTTCAGCCAGGACTTCACCGTCTTCGGCGGTTCTCTCTCCGAGACTCACGCCGAGAAGATCTGCAAGGCACGCTTTCCCTCTCGTGTGTGTGTGCGTGTGTGCGTGTGTGCGTGTGCGTGTCGTGTGGCACACGATCACTTATTCAAGTGCTGCGCTTGGCTCGAGTGCAGGTGATGGACCAGGCCATGAAGGTGGGCGCACCGGTGATCGGTCTCAACGACTCGGGCGGCGCCCGTATCCAGGAGGGCGTGGCCTCGCTCGGCGGCTACGCCGAAGTGTTCCAGCGCAACGTGCTCGCTTCGGGCGTCGTCCCTCAGATCTCCCTCATCATGGGTCCCTGCGCTGGTACGTCGTGACCTCACACATCGCCGGCCGTGGCGCGCGTGCCACACATTCCAGTGAATCTGACCGGTGCGTGGCCTGTTCGTGCGTGGAATGTCAAACAGGCGGTGCTGTGTACTCGCCCGCCATCACCGATTTCACGTTCATGGTCAAGGACACCTCCTACATGTTCGTCACCGGCCCCGAGGTCGTCAAGACCGTCACCCACGAGGGTACCCTCACGCGCCACACCTCCATCGCTGTCGCTCGAGCTCACCCGTGTTGTGTGTGTTGTGTGCGTGTCGTGTGTGTTCCACGTGTCGTGTCGATACAGACATCACACACGAGGGCCTCGGTGGTGCCCGCACCCACACCAGCAAGTCTGGCGTGGCCCACGGCTCGTTCACCAACGACGTGGAGGCCCTGTCTATGTACGCTTCTCTGCCTCCGCCGCACAAACATCGCACGACACGACACG